AGGGGGGCTGGTAGTATACTCCAGGGATGAGTTCATATAGCCGTATATCATTCCTCCGTCACATGACCTCCACCATAGAGGACCTCCCCTCCCCCCACCTCCTCTAGTTGCCCAGCGATGGAGACGTCCCCCGTTGTGTCTTCCGTCTCCCCACCACATCGGAGGTCCCGCCCTCCAGACGGCTCGGATACCGGAGGTCCCGCCCTCCAGACGGCTCGGATACCGGAGGTCCCGCCCTCCAGACGGCTCGGATACCGGAGGTCCCGCCCTCCAGACGGCTCGGATACCGGAGGGGCCGCTCTCAGGATTTCTCCTCCTCCTCCATGTCCCCAGAAACAAATGTGGACACCCACCGGTGGGACTACTACTCCCATCATGAGGCTCCCAACGTTGAAGTTTCTCCCCCACACGTTGGCCCTTCTGTCCTCCACCATGGAGGCTCCCATACCAGGTGTCCATGATCTCTGCTGTGCTCCTCCCCCATACCTGGCTCCTCCTCCACCATGCCCCCTCGGTGGGGGTGACCGATCTATGAGGATACAGATTCCCCTATTCCGCCGCGGTCGCCTGTCACTGGGATTATAACAAAGTGGAAGCAACCGGGAACAACAGCAACTCAGCCAGGAAGTGGTCGGCCGCGTCACATGACAGGGCGGGGTCAGCGCATGCTGAAGCTCACAGAAGTCGCCAACTGTCTGCAGAGCCAACCCAATACTGAACCCTACGGACTAAGACTGGGGGGCCATTAGAGGGCGGAGCCAACCCAATACTGAACCCTACGGACTAAGACTGGGGGGCCATTAGAGGGCGGAGCCAACCCAATACTGAACCCTACGGACTAAGACTGGGGACCCCACACCTGCCTCTGAGGACCATGCACCTCCCTCTGAGGACCCCGCACCTCACACTGAGGACCCCACACCTCCCTCTGAGGACCATGCACCTCCCTCTGAGGACCCCGCACCTCACACTGAGGACCCGGCACCTCCATCTGATGACCCCGCACCTCCCTCTGAGGACCATGCACCTCCATTTCCCTCACACACAGGGGTGTCATATAATGGACAGGGACCGCTGACACTTGTAGTCCTGTCCCTCAGAGGACGATGGCTCCTACGGTGAGAAGAAAGCCCTGTGATCTCGGGGGCTGCAGTTCCGCTGAGCGCCACTGGGTGGTGATCTCACCTATACACGGACAGGAAGTCTCTATGATTCCTACAGACAGGAAATGATGTCATGTATAAATAGGACGTTCCGGGTGAGAGGGGAGGCGGGAGGAGGAAGAGAGAAAAGACATTGCTGGAGGAGGTGAGGAGATATTATTTGGTGATAGATATACCGGATATGATATCTATAGATGCCAAAATGTTCTAAGATTTGTTGCTGGAAGATTGGACTCCGGAAGGTACATATGGTGGCCAGGTGGGGGCAGCATGGAGTTCTACTGCAAGAATGAAGCCGCTTCACCTTCTTACACCCGATACTCCATGCGGACCCGATACTCCACGGGGACCGTGGTGCTAGGCCCGGCCCAATCACTCCACCTTCTCAGACCCGATACTCCATGGGGACCGTGGTGCTAGGCCGGGCCCAATCACTCCACCTTCTCAGACCCGATACTCCATGTGGACCCGATACTCCATGGGGACCGTGGTGCTAGGCCGGGCCCAATCACTCCACCTTCTCACGACGATCCGGGTCGGTGATCGGCCGCACTCAGGCAGCAGTGGCCCTCCATTCCACTCACTCCTCACTAGGGCCCTGAGTAGCCCTCTAATATGCCTGAATAGAGGGCCACTACTGCCGGAACCCGTCATCCTGGTGAGCCCCCTAG